AATATTTATTGTTTGGTTAAAGATATACTAAGAATAAATTAAATGTCAAATCGACTTGTTATTCTGCTTATGTCAAAAACTGATGATCTTCAGAAAGAAGAAACTAAATGGAATAATGAAAACTGATTTATTAAGCGTGGCAACAAGAGAAAAAGGACGTGGCAACAAAAGAAGAACATGATGATACCATATATGGAATAGTCAATTCAGAATTAACTTTATAGAACGTACAATTTTGAGGACATTGAAATGGAAAAAAAATATACTCAGATAGATTGGAGAAGGGAAAAAAATGGAATATAAAGTAACAAGATAACAAAATACTATAGTTTGAATTAAATGGATGTAATGGTGTCTGGGAGTTTGATCTTTGAATAATTTTAGGAGATACCTTCCTTCTTCTATGGGCTCTCTCTCAATTCTATTTTATTTATTTTTCTTCCCTTTTTCTTTTTTTCTTTTGTCCCTTTCCCCCTCTCTATTTTTTCTAATTCTCTTTTCACCTTTTTTTGGTTATATTTCTATTCTCTTTCCTATTTTTATTCTTGTTTTTTCCTTTTGTTTTTATTTTAACTATTATTAATATTGTTATTATTCTCTCTCATTTTTCACTATTATTTTTATCTAAGTTGATTTTATGAATATACAACAATTTGACTTGGAAAAAATGAGTATAAATGATTGAAAAGTATGGTTTTTGGATGTTTTAATACTTTTTTAAACTTGGAATTTTTAAGCTCTATTTACAGACCTAATAATTTAGAAGAAAATGTTCTCTAAGGTGCTGGATATTAAGAAGAATTAATTACAGACTTAAAAATTGTAGAAAATTGATTTTAAAGTGATTTAAAATGTTGATATTTTAATGGCACAGGAGAAAGCCTAGGAGAGAATAGGAGCTAAGATATTTGTCGATACACTTTTTTATTTTTAATCAGTTAAAGACATGGAGGAGAATGGATTTAAAAATGAATATGAGTAATATATTGTGAATTAATTTAAAGTTAAATAATTGAATAAAAGATGTAGAAATGGAGGAAAAGATAAAGCTGGACAATAATTAAAATAAAATGTTATGAATTAGTTAAACAAATGAAGTTAGGAGTGGAGGGAAGCATGATTCTGGAGAACAGTGAAAGTAAAGCTGTGATCTAGTCTTACAAATAAGGTAGGAGTGGAGGAAAGCATCATACTGGAGAACAGTTAAGGCAAAACTGAGAACCAGTTAAAAATAAAAATAAGAGTTAGGAGTGGAGGAAAGCACGGGCTGGAAAACAACCAAAATAAAGCTGTGAACCAGCCATTAGAGTTAGGAGTGGAGGGAAGCATACGCTAGGTAAGAGTTAAAGCAAAACTGTGAACTAGCCAAAAAAATAAAAAGTTAGGAGTGGAGGAAAATATACCTGGAGAGCAACTGAAATATAGTTGTGAACCAGTTAAAAATAGAGGTTGGAGCGGAGGGAAGCATTGCTGGGAAGCAACTATTTGAGTTGTGAACCAGTTTCATAATAGATTTAGGAGGATTGAAGGAGATAACGTTGGTATGCAGTTAAAATTATACTGTGAACCAGCTCAAATAAGTAAGGTCAGAAGTGGAGGAAAGCATTGCTGGAAAGCAACTGATTAAGTTGCGAACCAGCCAAAAAATAAACTCAGGAGGAAGTGGAGGAGACAATACTAGAGAATAGTTAAGCCAAACTGTGAACCAGTTAAATAAATAGAGATAGAAGTGACGGAAAACACTGTTGGGAAATAGCTATTATGAATCAGTTAAATATTAGATTTTAAAATAAAATATTTTGGGAGTGACAAATTTTAGATGGAAATGTTGATTGACTTAGAAACAATTAAGAGAGGAGGAAAATATTTTTTGTCAAGATTATGGATACTAATTGCCATTTAAAAGAGGTACAATATAGACTCCATGTAATGGGTCTTAGAAATTAGGAATATATATGAAATATTGATTGTTAAAATGACAAAGATTTGGAATGATGTCTATTTGGAAATAATTGTTTAGAATTTAGAATTTAGACATAGTGGAATGTTCAAAATCTAAATGTTTAGAATAAGATTTATTTATTTTTTTTAAAGAGGTAAATGGATAAAATTTGGAACAAAATTGGTTGAGGGAATGTAAGTAATTGTATTTACTTTATACCGGATCAAATCCTTGCTCTAAAAAATGTATTTTATGTTTTATGTTTTAAAAAATAAAAAAAAAACTTTTTAGAAAAAAAAAAATCTGATGGTTTTGGGACCAGAAAAGCTAATGTATTTATTATGTAATAATGTTAACATAACAGACGTAACAAACAAACAATAAACAAAAGCTGTAGCATATGTTTCTTATTGAAATACTAAAAAAAATATGGGAACAAATTATTCCTACAGTCTCCCCTTATTCATTTTGAATTTAATTTATTGCTTCTATTGCGGCATCATATGGACTGGTCTGAAAGCCATTTAGGATCATTAAAAGATAATGTATTGGCAGGATCTGCTGTTGCATTTTCAGTCTCTTTCCTTACGTTTTACACTTGAATGGAAAAAATACAACTTCTTACAGCATGCAGTAAACACACTTCTGTAACACTGCAGCCTTCTCATGTAAAAAAGGTTTGTTGAATTGATGGAGATTTGTGTCAATTCATTTATTATCTTGCCCTGAGACAGACTGTTACACCCAGATCTTTAATGTATTTAGATAATATCCTCTCAGCTTGTCTAGCAATGGCAATTACATCCCATGGCAGAAGAGCAGCCTTTAGCATTAAACAAATTATAGTGTTCAGCAAATTTCTGTTCAGTGTGTAATGTGAGTGCTGATTTTCTTTTTCAGTGGCACTATTCCTTCCTAGTTCTAAGAGGAGTAAATTGGAAATATTGTTTTATTTGTGGCCATAGTAGGTGACTAAGGATGCATTCAAAGCTTTCAACAGAACTAAGAGCTTAAAAGAACATGCATACAAAATAGAAGATGGATGTAATTACCAAGAAGTTGCAGCACAAAGTAGTTAATATCCACAGAAAATCAGAAGAACTAAAGAGCATAAAGAACTCAGATTTGCAAAGGAAATGAAAGCCAAGAAAAAGAGCTATTTCCTACCATACTAATAAAAACAAAACAAAACAAAACAGGAAGGGATGGGTGCAGTCCTATGAGCAGATGGTAAGAAAATAGTACATGATGGGGAGAAGAGATTTCAACTTTCTTTAACGTTCTCCCCCAAGAATTATGATCAAATGGACCGAAATAGAACAACTGCAAAAGAAGAGAATGGTAACCCTGAGGGGTGGTGGTGGTGGTGGTGGTGGTAAAAAGGTAGCTACTTAAAGAAATAGATCAATGTTTTCTCAATCTCTGTAAGGTGAAGATGGAGGTGTTTAAACAGAGGTTATACTACTTGAGAACACGAAGACTCTGAATTCTAGTCCATGTTAGGCATGGAAGCCAGCTGGGTTACCTTAGGCAGGTCACTTTGTCTCAGCCCAGCTCAGATCACCCTACAGAGCTGCTGATGTGGAAAAATAAATCAAATTAATACCTATGCCTGGCAGGAAGTTTGTACTAGGTGATTTCCAAGATCCCTTTCAATCCTTAGGTCTGATTCCATAAACTATAATAAAGTGGGGTGAGAAAGGAAAAATGGAGTGTAAATAGTTTGTTAAACTTAAAACTGAATGTTTTAAGAACTGGTAGTTTTAACTGAGAAAATAATCTAGAATAAAATATTACACCTTTTACAGCACCTCTGTAATTTTGAAGCTCCAATGGAAACAAAGTGTTACAGAAAAGCACCCCAAAAATGTTTTTTTTTAAAAAAATGCATTGTAAGCTGCCCTGAGTCTCCGGAGAAAGGAGGCATATAAATTGAATTATTATTACTATTATTACTATTATTACTATTATTACTATTATTATTAATAATAATAATAATAATAATTTCTTTATTTTTCTGCAACATCATAGACATTACATTATCATTGCATACATCATGCATCACACATTACCTTACATCAGAAATAGGTCTTACATATTTAACTACTCTATGCAGAGTTTATCCTGAAACTTCAAGTTATTACCTACTTAATGCAAAGGTGATGGTACCCTGTTTTCACTTTTTTAGGTGGTATACCTTGTTAGAAAATACAAGTAAAGCCAGCGAGGTGCTAGGTTTCATAAGTGGCTTGAATTTCAATCTTGTTTCCATTTTCCTTCTTTCATCAGCTTTGACTGTATTTGTGTTAAATTACAGTTTGTGAAGCTAACTTGCAATTATGTTCTTTACAAGCCACACGCTTCATTTCTTTCCAAGTGAAAAGCAAAATCCTTTATGAGGTATTTGATATGGTAATAACGTCCCCACGGCAAATCCCCTGGTACAGTACTTTCAGGCTGCGGTTTGTGCGCGCTGTGAACAGACATCCGCACCAGATCACAAGCCTGTAGGAGGCCAGCGAGAAGCTGTGCGGATAAATGTGAAAGTGCATTTGTGTAAACAGATCGATGCGACTGCACTCAGGACAGGAGAGCTTTTGGATATAAAGACAAAAGGAGTTGGGGAGGCTCAGATCCGCAAGCACGACGCCCTGCGCGCCAAAAGGAAAAAAAAAAGAAGAAAAAAACTTGTTTATGACTGCGAGGGCGTCTGTGGTGAAAGACGTGGCAGACTCCGCAGAGAGAGAGGGAGGGAGGGAGAGAGACCCTTGTGGACGCAGAATTATGAGGTGTTTTATCTTTGCACCACAGCGCAACGGAAACTGGTTGTGAAAGGTGGGGGTGGAGGAAACAGCGCCCTTCTGGAAACGGGCCGGGCACCCCTTTTCTGCAACTCCCCTCCCTGGGAAGGCGGAGGAAGAGGAGGAGGAGAAGGAGGCGACGTCGGCGGTAAACTCGGCCGGCCCCCTCCCAGCGCCGCCCATCCGCCCCCAGCAGGCCGTGGAGGATCGACGCATCCTCGTCGTCTTTCTACCTCGCGCTCGCCGCCGCTTCGCCGCGCGCTTTTTGAGGCGGCTGCGCCTGAGTCGCGGCGGCGGCCTTTCGCACCGGCCGGCCCGGCGGAGGGGCCTTGGCAGCGCTTGGGAATGGGGTGCTGGAGCTGTTGCTCTTGCTTCATCGCGGGACTTGTCCCTTCTGGCAAGGCCGCGATGTTTTTGGTCGCCGCCGCCGCCGCCGTTTAACCGCCGGGTAAAACGAGACCGCCGTCTGCGGCTGGCCGCGCAAGAGAACAGCCTTCGCCTTCCTCAGCCCCGGCGCCTTCCTCGGCTGCGGTGGCGATGAGCGAGCGGCCGCGTCTTCATCCAGAGAAGCGGGGAAGGCGCAGCTCTCCCTCGACCTTCGCCCGCCGGCGGCGCCGCCTCCTCCTCCGCCTCGCCAAGCTCAGCTCGCCGTAGACGCCGGCGATGTGGAGCTCCGGGGCCGCCGCGTTGCAGCTGCTCTCGCGGGCGACCAAGCAAGCCTTCGCTCAGGGAGCCCGGCAAGACCTGAACCGCTGGCTGGAGCCTCTTGGAGCCGCGGGCGAGCCGACGGAAGCGGCGGGCAGAGGGGCGTCCGGCGAGCAGCTGCTGTTTGGGGAGCAGAACGGGCTGTATCACTGCCCTCCGCCTCCTCCTTCTCAGGAAGCGTCGGTGGAGCTCCTGCTCTGCCAGCTGCCCGAAGCGGGACACGGTTTGGGGGAGAGCAGGACGTGGCACTGCTCGGGATGCCTGCTGGGGACCTGCTGGTGCAAGAGTTGCCTGAGCGTGTGTTTCCTGGCGATGTTGTGCTTCGCCTCGCTGGCCTTGGTGCGCCAGTACCTGCGGGACCTGATGCTCTGGGCCGAGAGCTTGGACAGCCTGGCCGGCGTGCTTCTCTTCACCGTGGGCTTCATCGTGGTGTCCTTCCCTTGCGGCTGGGGCTACATCTTACTCAACGTGGCCGCCGGCTATCTCTACGGCTTCGTGCTGGGCATGGGTCTCATGGTTCTGGGTGTCGTGATCGGCACCTTCATCTCCCACGTGGTTTGCAAGAAACTCCTGGCCCGATGGGTGCAGGCTAGGATCCAGGGTAGCGAGAAGCTCAGCGCCGTCATCCGCGTTGTGGAAGGAGGAAGCGGCCTCAAGGTGGTGGCCTTGGCTAGACTTACACCGATACCCTTTGGACTTCAAAATGCACTCTTCTCTGTGAGTAACTGTCAAGGAGCTCTGGATGTGCCTTGTTTAACAAACTGCAGGTGAAAGGCTCCTTCTTGCACCCCAGTGCCGATTCCAGCTTAGGGCTAAGCACCTTGCTACTATTCTCCAGGTGTCTTGTATTAGCTTCCACCAGCCCCATCTTGCACAGGATTGTGTGCCCTATAGTTCAGAAGAGCTGGATAGTACGAGATCTCACCAGTTCAGACCCAGTTACAGGACAAAGGTTGCAAATAATTGGTTTATCAATCAATTGTAGAGATAGGAAAAGTCAGAACTCAGAAATAATCAGAATATATGCTCTCTCTCTCTCTCTCTCTCTCTCTCTCTCTCTCTCTCTCTCTCTCTCTCTCTCCCCCCCCCGCAGTGTTTTGGAATAGTTCTTAAATCTGCACTGATTGTTCAAAGAAGATCAATATAGGTCAGATATTCCCTGAAGATGCATGTGATGATAACCCACAATAGGAAAGCTTCCTTGAATGTAACTTGACACTGAGAAACAAGGGGAGAGGGATATTTAGCTATTTTCCTTGTCTCAAATCTCTGTCAAATAGCACCATTTCCTGTGTAGTGTACAGTAGTTTATTCCCTGGAGACAGAAGACATTGCTAAATATTCATGCATCTAGAAAAAAAATAAAGCTTTGCTATTCAGAAGGAAACACAGGCAGAAAATGGGTTAAATTATGCTTTCTTGCTGTCAGTTCTCTGCTTCCGATTATCAGAAAGCTGTGGTTTTTAACATTTTACAACTCTGTTAGCATACCTTTCCAATGAGAGCAATGCATATTTAGATATTGGTAGACTTATCCTACTTATTATTTCAGTGTTTAGAAGATGGCTTTTAAATTTGACAGAACTTGATCCATCACAAAGAACCTTCCAAAACAATTCTGATATAGTTGTTTTAACATAAGAATCAACTTATCTTTCCTCTACTTACAAGAAATTGTGCTTAAAATCTGAAAGCCAATTTTATGCTGGGTCTGTATCTTATGAAGGTTAATTTGTTACATTTTTTATTTTTCTAAAACAAATAGTTGGTTTTAGCCTGTAATATAACACCTCTGTATTTTCCTGCATTCAAGGCAAAGGATGAATATATATTTAGTACTTGTGTTTGGTCCTTGAAGTAGTTTACATTTTATTATTGATTGGAAAACCTGGATTGTTTGTTACCAGAAGACATCTAAAAAGGTTTTATTTGGGAAACTGTAGGAGCATATGGAAGGCTATCCCTCTTGTCATGATTGTAGTGCAATTAATATGCAGAATGTGTTTTCATATTTTTTTTTTGGCCTAGTGTACACAAATAGAGAAAAAAAAGATATAAAAAGGAAAAATAAAGTGAAAGAAAAAGGAAGTTGTACAATTTTTAAAAAAAACATATAAAGGAAGTATTAAATCTTGAGCAGATGGAAAATAATATTGATCAATCTTTCCATTACATCAGTAAAAGGCCAGTTCATAAACAGAGAGTGAATGTAAGCCATGAGTCCAAGATTGTAATTGAGGGTGGCATTTCACACATATAATATATTTCTATTGCAAAGGAATAATCTTTTTTGCTATGTTGTAGCCTGGTAAATCTGTAGTTCTCTCAATACTAATACATTTCAAATTGTTGATATATGATTCAAATCACATTCATGCCTTAAACATCTCTCCTCAAAGCCCCATTAACAGCTAAAAGACACTCAACCAAAATTAGAACAATAATAGAATATACATCTAAGCTTAAATGTGCTCTCTGTCATTTTGTATAACCAGTTCAAAGTAGACAAAAATTCTTTTAATGCATTCTTTGAAGTATCCAATAAAAATGAAAAAAAGTTGAATGAGTCTCATCCTGAAGTTATAAGTAACATAATTAATGTTCTTTAAGACTCTTATTCATTGAATTATGAATATAGGATATTCCAATAGTTTACTCCAAAGTACTTTAAAATAATTGAACACACATTTCAATGATGGTATTCAAGATTTTGAAATGCATCTGGAACAAAAAGTTTTCAATAAAAAGTTGTTTTAATTAAGTGTCCCACTGATCTTCATTTTTAGACAATCTCAAATCCCCTTTGGGATTCAGATTTGAACAAATTAAATTAAACAAATTTAATTCAGTTCTCAAACAATTATGTACAGTGGAAATCTCAAACTCAAACATCCTTTCCCAGAAGTCACCTAAATCTTGATACCCTGGTCTCACTTTCTGTTCTTTGAAATAATGGGTTGCTCAAGCACATTGTCACCTATCTTTCTTCCAAGAAGCACTTTATTTGGTGCTCTCCCTAAATATTCCTAAATGGGAATATTGACTTAGATATCCATCCTTCAGTAATAGTAATTTACAATAATAATATTTTCCTATAACCCTTTAGGATTTTGTCTATGGAGCTTCTCAATCATCCAGATCATGGTTGTCCCAAAGGTGCTTTCAGTCCATTTGCCTCTTGAAAAAGTACCTTTGGGATCTTTAGGATTTTAAACATCTTTTAATAGTAAAGTGAAATTTAAAAATCGACAAAAATCAAACTAAAAAAAAGGGATATTGCCATGGGTAATTATTCTTAGGTAATTGAAACAATTTTCCCACCAAGCTAGCTGGGTGGCCTTGGGTCAGTCAATCTCTCAACCCAAGCCAAGGGCATCTTTTATTCAACTTCCTCAGGATGTGTGAGTAAATAATTCCAGTTGTAATTACCTTGCTGAGGGATTAAAATATTGCATATCAAGGAATATTATGCCAGAATTTAAACTGGCATATCAAGGATTTTTCCACATTCATCAAAACATCCACTGCCAACTCCAGTTTTTCTGAGCACATATCTAAAATATCAAGGGGTAATCTAATATTATGTTAGACTTGAAAATCTTTTATAAAACCATATTGCATAGAAGAGATATTTGAAGGTAATATTGTCTGTAGGGCGCAAAGAAACAATCTACTGCGAATTCTGTATGGTATCAGGAAGGGCATTGGGCCAGTAAACACTCAGCTCCATTGAGTCGCCCAACTCTGCTCTGATTTAAGGGAGTACAAAATCATAAAAAGGGAGTTATTGTCTGTAATCTGTATGACAGGTCTGTAATGAAACAGTTGGTGCAATATTTAAACAGGAAATTCTGCAAGCTAATGCGGTACAGTAAAAGCAGAATTCTTACCAGCTTCAAATCATAGTTATATGCACCACATTAAAGGACGTTGGAAAAAATATTTTATAAGAATTAATTGTAAACTTCAAACAGTACAGAATTAAGAGGAGTTTTCATGTTTTCATATATTTAACAATATTATTCCCTGAAGTGATAAAGGAGCAGTGAGACAGCTGGTTCATGTGTGATCTTCAGAAGAGCTTTATTATTTACATTTATTAAATGTAAAAGTATAACTGTAATTAAATGTAAAAGTATAACTTAGGCTCATTACATTTATGAAATGAATTGTCTTTAAGCATGTTATTAATTTGTTATATATGAAACTATAAATTGCAAAACTTGTTATCACTTATTTTTGTTAGTTTGAAAGAAAAAAAATAGAAAAACAAAGCTTACAAGATCATTGGCCTAATAGAATTATATATTTTGGGTCTATCAAAAGCAGATATGCCAACCTCTAAGTAAAAAGGCAGCAGTAGACAAGCCCACATCAAAATCTGGCCAAATACAGCAATCTTTTAAAAAAAAAGATAAAACCTTTGCAAATCTACTCAGATAATTGGTACTCCTGCATTCAGTGGACTAACTTCATATAACCAGTTACTAAATATGAGCCTTAAAATTTCAAGCTTAAGCTGTTGCTGTATTATTTCTGAGTTGAAACCTACAGGTAGTCCTTGAGTTAGAACAGTAACTGGGATTAGAAAATTTGTTGCTAAGAGTTGTGGTCATAATTTGCAACCAAACAGGAATCCTTGGCTTCCATTTACAATCAGTAACCGAATCCCTGCTAGACAAGACAACTTCCTGCTAGTTTCCCACAACCAAGTCAATGGGGAAGCTGGCAACAAGTTGCAAGTTCCAGGTAGTTTTACAAGCAGGATGGCAGGCAAGTAAATTGCTGCTGCTGGGTGAGGGACAATGCAAAAGGGGCATGGTGAAGCTCAGGAACAATGTGTAAGGGTGTAAGGGAGGCTTGATGAGGCTCAAGGAGGGTCCACAGTGATGTGCGAAGATGTGAGGGAGGTGCAACAAGACTTTGGGAGGGTGCAAGGATGTGTATGGGTGCAAGGGTTACTGAGGATGCAAAAGCTGCATGAGGGTATGAGGAAGGCATGGTAAAGGTTGGGGAGAGTATAAGGGAGTGCGCAAGTGTTCAAGAGAGGTACAGCAATGGTCAGCATGGGCCAGCAAGTGGTATAGTGCAAGTGCAGAGGGGCTGGGGGAGGGTGAGCTAGTAGCAATAGCACTTAGATGTATAAGTGCTTTACAGCCCTCTCTAAGCGGTTTATAGAGCTAGCCTATTGCCTATAACAAACTGGGTCCTCATTTTACCAACCTCAGAAGGATGGAAGGCTGAGTCAACCTTGAACCAGTGAGACTCGAACTGCCGAATTGCTGGCAGTCGGCAGTCAGTAGTCAGCAGAATTAGTCTGCACTTGCAAAATTAGGTAGAGGGGACATTCCCTACACATCTGTGACCTTCCCTGCTAATTTTCCCATTGACTTTCTGGGGAAGCTGGCAGGAAAGGTGCAAATGGCAATCATGCCACTGAAGTAGGGTGCTTCAGCGGTCATAAGTGTGAGTTGGTTGCCAAGTGCCCAGATGGCGATCATATGATGCGGAGGTCCTGGAATGGCCTGTAATTTCAGGATTGATCATAATCACCATTTGTTCAGTATCCTTGTGACCACTGAAAAAGGGTTGTAAATCAAGAACTACCTATATTTGTAGGTAGTTTATTTTGTTTTAAAATAATGTATCAGTGCAGGAATATCTAATGTTTGAATCATAATAAGCCATTAGCAAGATGTGATTATTACGGGCTATTGACTGCACCAAGAAGTGCAAAATCAACACAGGTGCTATAATTTAGGAGATGCAAAACAGTGTCTCACCCAGTTCATTCAACAGCTATACAGTATTGTATCATGTGCTATAACTACCTGAACTCCATAATTATCTTAATTCTCAAGTGTTGAATATGCATATTCTAACAAAATAAAAATGTAATCCCTTTAGTCACATGGGACAATTCCATTCTGTCTTTATAATAACTACCAGCCTTTTCTGTAAAGTTGTAGATGTGAGGAATGTGATTCTCTGGATGCTTAAAGGTAAGGTAAAGGTTTCCCTCGCACATATGTGCTAGTCGTTCCCAACTCTAGGGGTCGGTGCTCATCTCGGTCTCAAAGCCGAAGAACCAGCGCTGCCCGAAGACGTCTCCATGGTCATGTGGCTGGCATGACTAAATGCCAAAGCGCACGGAACATTGTTACCTTCCCACCAAGGGTGGTCCCTATTTTTCTACTTGCATTTTTTATGTACTTTCGAATTGCTAAGTTGGCAGAAGCTAGCAACGGGAGCTCATCCTGTTACGCGGCACTAGAGATTCGAATTGCTGAACTGCTGACCTTTCGATCAACAAGCTCAGCGTCTTAGCCACTGAGCCACCGTGTCCCTGGATGCTTATGCAGAAGCAAATCACAGGGTCTTTTGTTGTGATTACTCTCACGTGTGCTTATGATCACACCCTAAGTTTGCACTCTTGTCCACCTAACTTGGATATAAGCCAATTCTACTGCATTGTAGAATTAGGAAATACAATAAAATAAGGTTTTAAATCCCAATTATTTAAGATACCTGCATTTTACAACCAGAAATGTAATTTGTAGTGCCAATTCTAGATATTTTTAGGAAAAACTTTATATCCAAGTTTTATACATTTGTAAATTTTCCAGTTTTATGATAATTGTAATTAGCAAGCTAATATTTTAAACTGATATGATAGATTTGGAAAAGAAAGTTAAATATCAGTTTAAAATGTACTTTATACTGGATTCAGAGTCTTCTATAATTAATTATTCACATATTTGATATGTATAACCAATTAAATTGTAAATTGTAAGATAATCTCCTAGATCTTGCAGTTTCTGATATAAAGATTCAGATAATCAGGAATATTCTGAAAATGCCCACTTTTAAGTCAGTTTTTTTAAAGCTTGTAAGCTCCATAAATCTCTTATGGTAAGTCTCCATAAGCAGACCTTTACAGAACATCATTACAATACAAAGAGGCAAATACAATACAATACAAAGAGGCAGAAGGAAGTACTGAATCTGGATGAACTGCTAATATACTATATCAATGTTTTTATATGTATTATATCTGTAGTCAGAAGCAGTATGCCCATGTGCCAATGCTACATGACCTGCCTTGGTTGTCAGTTGACTTTCAAATGCAATTTAAGATGCTAGTCATTACTTATAAAGCTCTTCATGGCATAGGCCCTGGATAATTGAGGGACTAGCCTTCTCCAGATGTTTCTGTCTGCTTGGTACTCTCTAGCAGTGCCAAGGTCCTCTCTATTAAACATATTGAATATTCTTTATTGGCCAAGTGTGATTGGAAACACAAGGAATTTGTCTCCGTTGTATAAACTCTCAATGTACATACAAACCCAAAGTGAAAAGTCATAGATCATAAATCATAGTTACAATCATAAGTCATAAGATACAAATAACACGTGATAAATCATAAGATACCAATAGAAGAACCAAGTGGGACCAAATGGGACCAAGGAAGCAGGACCAAAGAAGCATAACTTCTCTCCCCTTTGGAAGAGTCTCCCCTCAGAGTTATGAATGGTGTCCTCTTAAGATCAGGCTCTGGTCCAAACCCTAAGGTTAATGCATGTAGTGGTTACCTATTATTGTTAGGATTGTTTCTCTCCGGGCCGACTGTCTTATATTATACTTTATTTACTAGATTTTTATTCCATTTATTATTTTGATAAATACTGGTAATTCAAGGCAGCAAACATACTTAATACTCCTTTCTCGTCCTGTCCTCATCCCTCACAACAACAGCACAATGAGGTGAGTTGGGCTGGGATAGAGTGACTGGTCCAAAGCCACATAGCTGGCTTTCATGCTTAAGGCGGGACTAGAACTCACAGTCTTCCGGTTTCTAAACCAACAGCTTAACCACTTCGCCAGACTTTTATAAAACTGTTTGGCTTTTGTAAATTGTCCAGACTTGCTGGAGTGGGGAGCTATAACATGCATACAAACATACATCCCCATACATTGTTTTTTTCTGCTAGAAGTGCACTAACTTTGATTAATAAGTTTCAGAATCTGTAATGGAATATGAAAAAAGTGATAGTGGAAAATTGATAATATTACTAATTAAATTAATAATTGTAATTGAATTAATGACCCTACTAATGATTATTTAGTTTTATGTTAAGTGATCTTATTATCTTTGATATATATACAGAAGTGTAAACATATATTCATTTCATAAATTTGTGAAACAACAAGAATGGCTACAGATTCTGGAGTATGCTGTAAAATTGCATAAGACTATATTTCTACATGGAACTAAATATGCAGTTCCAAACATTTTTGCAAAAAGCTTATGTATTTTGAAATAAGAAATTAAGTATATTCTTTCTTGAAAATTTAAATCATGTATCTGATTTACATAAAAGTGATGTGACAAAAGAAAGAATATTGTACTTTCTGTGTGTAAGTTGGGCAGTTTCTAAATTTTATATATAAATAAAATAAAATAAAATGAGGAAACATATCAGTAGGTGATCCATAGTTTCAGCCAAACAAATTTCAAACATGGAGGATTTGGGCTGCTTGTTAATAAGTTATTCTTGTCTGGTTGCAAATCAAGTTATAGTTCCTAATTTGTGTCATATTAAACTCTCTGTTTAGATTCCATAATAGGATTCTCAAAATTATCAAAATGTGTTATTCTGGATAGATTCTTTAGCCATTACAGTAAAATTTGAAGCTAAAATACAGTAAGTGGGCCCTTATGGTCCTTATTATCTGCTAAAATCATTACAAAATAATATTTACCTCACATAACTAAACATCACTAAATTATAGCAATTTAAACTATAAAACGTATATATAATTAAGTGAAAAAAACTTATTTAAAAAACCATGGATTTAAAAAAGTGATTTTTAGCTCTTACTGCACATAGCACGGTTGAATAGTTTGTCAGGAAATTTACTTAACATTTGAATAGAGTTAGTGAGTAATGATAAATATGGTGTGAACCTATTTCATTAATTTTTCCTGTGTTTTAAGGAAAACTGAGATTTTAAGGAATTAAAAAAATAACTTTAGGCCTACTGTAGGATTTAAATTAGTTTCCTAGATTAAGACAGTGCAAGATCACACCCTTGATTTTCAGCAATAGCAGTCTGGTACTGCTGAAGAGAGATGTAGGGTGAGAATGGATGCTGTACCCTCTCTAATGCAGAGGAAACAAGCTTATGGGAAGAATGGCACAGCACCATCAAACTCTTGCTCACTTCACAAATATCTTCTTGAATACCCTGCAGGCTTAAGTGTTTGCTTCAGCAAAAGCAGCCATAGCAGTTTATATTTCAATTTAAAATCATGTAAAAAATAAAATGTATCAAGTGTCATAAAATGGTACAATCTTTTAATAAATAACCCACAGTCAAAAAGTTGCAAAACAATACTAGAGAATAGCATCAGCATTAAAGAAGAGATAGATAAGAAAGATAAAAATACAGATGTAAATGTAAGCTTTATGTTTCCTCCCCCAAAATATACCAGAGTAGGGGAAATAATTCTGTAGAGCTACAGCTTGAAACTACTATATAGCTTTGGCAAACACTTCTTTATCTTTCTGAATAAACATAAGATGGACAAATTGTGTTTAAGCATAGTCAGATGCTTTCTCTCTCCCCTCCCTTTTATCTTTCTTGAAATGCGGGGTTGTTAAATTGCTGTCATTTCAGCAGGAGTGAAAAAACTGATCAGACGTGCTTGTCTAATGAATAATTTATATGTATTCCTTTTGTTTAGATCACAGATCTTTCACTACCAAACTACCTGATGGCTTCTTCCATTGGATTACTTCCAACTCAACTTTTAAACTCCTACCTGGGAACTACCTTGCGCACTATGGAAGATGTTATTGCGGAACAAAGTTTTAGCGGTTATTTCATTTTTAGTTTACAGGTAAATTGTTTCGACCTCACTCAGCAATTTATTCTCATAGCATTTTAGGTTAACTTTTATAAATCGGGGCATCTGTGTGGTACTCTCTTGCTATTTGGGCCTGGGACTTCTTCCATAGTCTCTTACCTTGTATTGTAAAATTGAAGTATTGATGGAAATTGAAGTACAAAATATCTAGCATATTGCCTACCCTTACTGAAAGTATTTATCTAATATCCCATAGTGCTGTGTGGAATTTATTCCTTCATTATATAAGTGTTGTTAAACATATACAATTGGATCCTTCCATGAATAGAAGTTTCTCAGCCCATCTGAATATCCTGCCTAACAGAAAGGCTAATTCCTAAATTTTGTTTGAAATGCTCATGCTTGGGGAGAAAAAACTATTTGGCCCATTCATAGAAGCCTAGGGACGCTTCAGCTGGTACAGAATGCGGCCGTGCGGGTTGTGATGGGAGGGTCCCGATACTCCCATGTTACACCTCTCCTGCGCGACTTGCATTGGCTGCCGGTTGCCCTCCGGGTGAGATTCAAGGTGCTGGTGATGACCTATAAAGCCCTACATGGCTTAGGCCCAGGATATCTGTCGGACCATTTGCAACCAGCAACAGCTTCCCATTGCCCGGTGCGTTCTCACAGGGAGGGCCTACTCAGGATACCGTCGGCTAGACAATGTTGGCTGGCGACCCCCAAAGGTAGAGCTTTCTCTGTGGGCGCACCCACCCTTTGGAATCAACTCCCCCTGGGGCTCTGGTTGGCCCCTGACCTTCGCATTTTCTGCTGCGAACTAAAAACATGGCTGTTCAAATTGCCCAGCCTGGACTGATGGGGTTCTGATTATTTTTAATGTGTTTTATGGGTTTAATATGTATTTTTAACATTTATTGGATTGGGATTGTATTTCTTAATTGTTGTGAGTCCTATAGAGATAGGGCGGCATACAAATCAAATTAAATAAATAAAAATAAAAAATGCTTGAATTGAAGCCAGTTTCTGGATTAAGAAGATTTTCAGATATTTGCTTTGGAACCAAATGCAATGGCTCAGCAGTTAAAGAAGTAGCTCCCTCTCATATTTGTTACAGTAATTGATAATAGTTGGAGTTTTGTCCTTTTCCTCAAACCCAAAGTTTCAACACTAGGACTTTTATTTATTTTGCCAAAACTTTTAAAGCAATATTTTCTTAGTGTTAGCATATATGACAAAACTATATATGACAATAACTTACATTTTTATAAGTTGGACAAATATTCTATAAGTATAGGTAAAACACTAAGAAGGAATACATAATAAAATGTTGGGAGCAGTTTCTATTACATTCCATGTTACAGGTAGTCCTTGACTTATGACCATAATTGGGATCACAATTTCCATTTTAAATTGTTATAGGTTGAGTCATCACATGACCTGACCAATTTTATGACTATTCTTATTATGGTCATAAGTCAAGTCATGCGATCATAAGTAGAGTCATTCAGTTATAAGTGTGATTCTAGTTTAACCCATAGCAAATTGAATAACATGATCACGGGACACTGCAGCTAATTGGAAATGTGAGCCTATTGCTAAGTGCCCAAGTTGCAATCATGTGACTCCAGGGGCAGGGTAATTGTCATAAATTTGAATTTAGATTGTAACTGACATTTTTGTAGGTCATTGTTAATTTGAACATAATTAAGGACTTCCTGTATTGGCTTTTTAAAGTCATTTTCTGTGTGATCCTTGGCAGCACTTAGGTTTGATGAAGGATGCGACACCTAGGGAACCTTTGTAGTGGGGTAAAAATCTGAGATTAACAGAAAATATTTGTATGCAGAATGCATAGTCATTCATTAACTAGACTTTCCAAACTGGCATCCTCCAAATTACATAATCTCAGCCCATGCCAAGTTGGGAAAAATATATAACTTGCTTTTGAATATATGACATAATAGTCAGATGCTTTATCTGAATTTTTGGCATAGAGTGCTGAAATATTATTATGTGTGGCATTGTAAATGATACTTAGGAACACCAGGTAGTTCAGCATGATATGTGCAAGTCTTTCTAAAGAATTTTCCCCAAGTTAAATCAATATATGGCTTCTGTGAAAAGATAATATTACTCTGTTGAAACAAATTTTATTTGTATTCTGTAATAAGATACAGTATGTCTTTTGAAATGGCATTAATGTTTTAGTATTTGAGAGCTGTACAAATGCCAAGATCACTCTTTAGACCTGAAGTTTGTTTGTTTGTTTGTTTGTTTAAGGCTAAATTGCTTAGTGAATTCATGGGAGAAATGAAATTCAAACCAGCAGTAGTATACAGTAATTTACAGCTCTTCTTTTCTATATCACATATCTGTAAATTTTGTTACATTAAACTAGACATGGGATATAATTTTCTTAAATTTTTCATCTAATTTAAAATTACTTGTTTATTTAGCTTAAACTACTCTTAGAGTGTTGATAAAGGTTGGCCATGTATCTATATCAAAGACATAATTAATTGCATACCTTTTGTCAGCTGTTGCCAAGAGCAGTCTTCAATATTGGTACAGGTAGTCCTCAATTTATGACCACAATTGAGCCCAAAATTTCAGTTGCTAAGTGTAAGTATATGTTAAATGAGTTTTGTCTCATTTTACGACTTTTCCTGCCACAGTTGTTAAATGAATCAGTGCAGTTAAGTTAGTAACACGATTGCTAAATGAATCTTGATTTTCCATTGACTTTGCTTGTCAGAAGATCACAAAAGGGGGATCACATGACCCAGGACACTGTAACTGTGTCAGGGTTCCAAGTAACATATCCATAGCGAACAAAATTCTGAGGCAGGCAATTTCGTCAAAGAATAGGTTTATTGGATATGTCATATTGGCACATGCTGGTGAAATCTGACTCTGAATTCCCACAGTTTTCACCTAATTAAAAGTAAAAATTTGTCACTTTCTCAAAATAAGCAGTCACATGGTCCAATCAGTATACTATCCAGTTGTTAGGTGATTCAAGTCCTCTCCTTCCAGCACTTGCAGGAATTCCTTGGTTCCCAAGAGAAAGTATTTTGTTTTGACTACAACACCCCAACTATCTCTATTCCCTTCCCCCACCCCCACCCCCACTCCCCGCTATACTTCTTCTCCAGTGTGTCAGCACTGAAGTCAGTCAGGCCAGCTTTAGGGTTGACAGGCGGCCCCCCCTTAATTGAAAAGGAGTTCCTGGAAGAAGACAAGAACACAGATAGGTTAATCAAACACAAGCTTGACAAACTGTGATAAATATAAGTCAATTGCCAAGCGTCAGAATTTTGATCACGTGACTGTGGGGATGTCACAAAAGTTGTAAACATGAAAAATTGTCATAATTCATGTTTTTCAGTGCCGTTGTAACTTTGAATGATTACTAAATGAACTGTTGTAAGTCAAGGACTACCTGTATTTTGATTCTCAATCTTGCTTGGTAATTTGTGGGCACTTGACAATTCAATTGCAGTAAAAAGCCACTTTAAAAATTCACTTTCTTGATGTACTTTAAATATGTTTATGTTCACGTTTGCAGCTGAAAATATTAAACAAGACAATTGTATCTGCTTCATTCACAGATTGTAATAAGTATAGGCCTCATGTTCTATGTTGTCCACCGAGCTCAAGTGGAATTGAATGCAGCCATAGTTGCATGTGAAATTGAAATGAAGACATCACTTGTGAAAAGCAGTCAGACCAGCAGCAACAATTCAACATCTTGCAACAAGAGGACACTTGCATTTTCTGGAGGAGGAATCAACATTGTGTGACTTCCTCTCATTTTCTGCAGTATTATCTTAGGTTTGTTAAACTGGGTCATTTAATTTGTTGCTTACAACTGCTGGACTTTTCAGCAAAACTTAAAATCCAAGTGGCTGGAAGATGTACTGTGATAAGAAGTACACGGCAGTTTTTATATAGTAAACTGGCTAAATTTTTGTAGGGTTCAATAGTAACTGTAAACATAGATGCAAATCTGGCTGCACCTTTGTCTTTATTATCATGACTTATAGTCTGCACTTTAGACTTTGTTTGGTGTTTGCTTTTATAAACTGAAGAATACCCCGATACAATTTTCTTTCTGCTTAGCATTATTTATAAGACTGACTAATAAATAGTAGATCTTTAATACTTATAAAAATGTAAAGTATGCAACTTCATGTACAGAACTCTTAAATATGTGTGTTTTTGAAACTCAGTGAAACCTTGATCTAACAGTGCAATTTGCAGAATGGACTTTGCTCCTTCTGAATGCTCATGAAACTTCTAATTACATCATTCCTGGTGATTTAGCTATCTGAGCAAATACTTTATTCTGCCACAAATGATGTAATACTTGTTGAAAATTACAGGCCTCGTTTAGATTATCTTGGATGGAAAATTCTTGTCCTTTAATTGGAAGAAAATCTAGAGAGAAATTGATTCGCTGCATCTGAAGTCCATTAAACAGGTATCCACTAAATTGAGGTTTCACTGTATTTCTGGAAAATAGAACCTTTTTTCAGAATTGAGAACAATCAATGCAGGAAAATCCCATTTTTCATAGCTGGGAGGATAAGATGAGCACTTCCTCATGAGAAAGCTCTTCTGGAATCCAGAGTAATCTTCTTGTTTGTAACAGGTTAAAGGACATCCCCATACTTCTCTGGGGTTATCCGCTTAAAGAAAGGGGAGAATGTTTTTGCTATTTTGGGAACTATTTGGTTTCCTTACCTTGTTTTGTTAAAAAATCTGAGAACTGAGAGAGAGAAAAAAACCCTTACATAAATCTTTAGTTGAATGTATTTTTGTAAGCCTCTGAACTGTTCTGGAGCCATCATAAATGTTCATATAAGTTCAAATCCTACATTGTGGGACTGAAGTGCTCTTATAAAACATGTTAAGTTATACTGTATAATATGCAAAGTAAAAGAGAAACTACAGAGTACTTACAGATTGTGGAAAAGAATAGTGCGAAGGAGAATTTGCAGGTGAAATGCAAATCTTTGAATGGATTTATCCTTGTGAGTAACAACAAAAGGGCTCTTCCACTGTTTCTAACTAGCGGTGAAAAGATTTTAGGAAACTGCATCAGATTTGCTTCATTCTGCACTCTGTAACACGAGCAAAATAGGTGGAATAAACCTTTCTGAAAACATAATGATACTAATTAATCATGTGGCCTTTATTTTTTAGAGAAGACTTTTTGGTTTTTCTTTCTTGAAAAGCTTTAAAAATCCACACAATTCCGCCCTGCATATATTTTCTTCTGATCATAAAATAATGCTCTTATATAAGTTTTCTGCAGTATTTTAAAATTTGTATCTATGAGGATGTGTCCCCTTTTTTTTCTTTTCTTTTTTAAATTAAGAAAAAATAGATTTTCCATCTTTAAAACATTGACTAGGAAATGGCAGAAATGTCTTGAGGCTCAGGAATCTGTAAACATTTAAAAAAAAACAATTTCATAAAATAAGTTGAATTCTCTTAAGAAAATCACTAACTTTGTTCTATAGGTTTGAATGAACTGGAATAAGCATAACTTGCTTATGTGTATTCATATCATAATTCTTTATAGATTGCATATTTGTATGCCTGAATGAGAATTCACAAAGATACTTCATAGCAGTTTGAATCAACTCAAAACTTTGAACTAAGTTTCATTTTTGTCTGAACAATAGAGTCCATTTCTGGGCTCTTGCACTTTTGCAATATCCCTTCCATTTCCTCCTAGTTTTTTGTCATGGTGCAATGATCTGTGAAAGTTATAGATTCTTACAATACAAAATCTGGCCATTGACTTCAACAAGTTTGCTTTGCATTGAGGCAAATAGTTTTCAAATTTATTGTGCAGAATAATCTGCTCGTACTCTACCATATTTGTTAAATAGTTGAATAGGTAACTATGCCATCTCCCCATATAGCTTAAAATATCACAATATTTCAAATTTAGTGATAAATATGGAACTATTGGCAAGACCTTGTTTGGGAAATTTGGTGTTGTTCTACAGTTGAATTGTTTTTGTTACTTGAAAATTGGAAGTTTGGCTATTATTTTATGACACTTTGATAGTGAATGATTGCTGATCCCTTTATTACTGTGGCTTTCATTTGAAAAGTAATACCAATAGGCACTGTAACTTTAATGTTACTTCACCCAAGATTTTATCAATATTTGTTATTCTGTGATCTCCTTTGTTAACAACAATAAAGGAATCTTTGTAAAGCTATATTTTCTGGAGTTTTAGTTGTACTGTGTTTTCAAATTGAGGTAATTTGTACAAGGATTTTGAAATTGAATCCTTTCAAAGTTTTTGCATGCAGTGTGGCATTTATGTTCAAGAATGAATTATTATTATTTCTTGAGTTACATTTCTGCCCATTTTACCCAAGTGACTCTGTGTGACTTTGACAAATCTTAATCTGTCAAAAGGCATTTGAAACACTAAAATATCTGTTTGCAAAGGAACCAGTGCTGAAGCATCCTAACCCCGAACAAACCTTCGTTATCCAAGCAGTCACCAGCAACGTGGCAGTGGGAGCAGTGCTACTCCAAAGAAATAGCCAAGGAAACCTACAGCCCTGTGCCTATACCTCCTGCAAACACAGGACATAGAGAGGGGGTAGGCCACATGGGAAAAAGAGGCTTTCGCAGTGAGATGGGCACTGCTAACCTGGTGCCACCTGCTGGAAGACTGGCAGAGACTGTTCGAAGTCTGGACTGATCCCAAAAACCTGGAGGCCCTTAGGACCCCGCGAAAACAAGTCCTCTGGGCTCAATACTTCAACCGGTTCGATTTCATGCTAAAGCACATCCCAGGGGGGAGGAACTTTCTAGCTGATGCTCTCTCCCACATGCCCCAGTACAAATGCGAACGCGAGGAGGTAGTAGACGCCATCATCCCCCCTACACAAACAGCCGCCTAAGTGACCACCAGACGACAACGCCGCGACTGGCAATACCAACCCATAAGCGATCTAACCACGAAACTCAAAACCAAACTGCTAGCAGACCCCTGATTCCGAGACAACCAAAACATCTTGACAAAAAGAGATGACCTAGTGTGGAAGGGGACGAAACGTTCCAGAATCCCTATGCATCCTAATCCTCCAAAGGAGCCACGACGTCAAACCGGCAGGCCACTTCGGGTTCCTGAAGACTTTACACTTAGCTCGGAGAGTGGCACAAGTCTTAACTGGCGAGCTGGCCAAAAGTTTTTCCAGTACCTAGCGGACTAGGGATATGTGGTTGTTCATGGTCTCAGTGTAGATGAGGCTGTCACCCAGGTAGATGAGGACCCCCTTATAGGGGTGCTCATGCAGCACCTCGTTTATTAATTGCATGAACACCGTTGGGGATCCCTGCAGTCCAAAAGGCATCGCTTTGAATTGGAAGCTCCCTAGGGGGCAGTTGAATGCTCTTTTCCATTCATCTCCCTCCCTGATGCGGACTTGGTAGTATGCTTCTCTCAGGTCTAATTTGGTAAAGACTTTTCCCTTGGCTAGGTTAGATGGCATGTCCTTCATGAGGGAGGGGATATAGGTTGTGTAAACATACACAGTTTATTGCTCTAAAGTCCATGTACAATCCAATAGTTCCACCTTTTTTTTCTTTGAATAGGACTGGGGCTGCAACCCGTGGCTTGGCTGGCTCGATGAACCTTCTTGCTAGGTTGTCTATGTATGTCTTTGTCTATGTATTTGCACATTTCTTGCCTTTCCTGGGGCGTCATGATGTACAATTTGGGTTTGGGTAGTTTTGCCCCGGGGATGATTTCGAAGGCGCAGTCTGTCTCATGGTGGGGAGGATACCCTGATATACAACAGGTAAAAACAATCCAATAAAACTAATATATAAACATATAAAAACTATATGAAATTTTAAAAGCAGAATTAAAAGCAGTGGCAGATTTCATCTTATCTGACTTAGTCATTGCAAAAACAACTCACTATTGCCAGACCCTAGACACAGCAGCAGAGCCATATCTTTACACTCTTAGTGGGTTGGGGCTAAACTAAGGTCCATGGCAGAAAAGGATCTCTACTTAGGTCCTGCCAGATGACATTTTTTCATAGAAGGCATCCATAACATATTTCTTCTGCTGGTCCTGATGAGATGGGGAGAGGCAATCGTTCAAACCAGAATCATGCATATGGAGTTTTATAAGTCATAACGAGCATCTTGAAGAGAACTTGGAAGCATACTGTCAACCAATGTGGATTGCAGAACAGAGGTATAATGAGTGCTGATTGAGGAATGCACATAATTGCCCATGTTGCCAAATTCTATACCAACTGCAACTTCCACATGTTGTTCAAGAATTCCACCCCATTCAGAATCATGACAAGTTGCTGCGTCTTGCTAGGGTTGAGTCAAAGCTAGTTGTTTCCTATTCAGAACCCTACAGCCTTGAGACACCAGAACAGGACCCCAAAAGCACTGCTTAATTTGCCAAGGATAAGAAGTACAAATTTGGATATCAACATACTGATGATGCCTCACCTCATGGCGACTCAGTTGTTTCATATAGATGTTAAACAGTACCGGAGAAAGTACCAAAGCCCTAAGGAACCTCACAATGCAGAGGCTGAAGATAGGACCTTCCTGATCAACACCAATGCCAGAGGAAGGAGGAGAACCAGCAGAAGCAGTGCTGCCCACCCCAATTCTCAAAACTGGTCCAGGATATGTTTTGTTGGGATTGTTGGAAAACACTCAATCTGGCGGAGGAGGGCTGAACTGAAGCATGGATTTAGTCTGGAGGCACTGCACAACTATGAAAGGGCTAAGACTGACCTACAAGCCAAATTCCTTGGAGCCTTAACTATTTCCAGGAAAAGACTGCCAGTCTGGGGTTATATTATGCAGTTATATTACATTCTCTTTTATTATTTAAATGTATTCTGTACATCACCTGGGGATGCATTGCCTATCAGCTAATATTTAAATAAACATAAAAAGTAATTAAAACATTTCAAATAAGATCATCTGCTAGCCTGTATTTTAACAAGTATCAATGGAAAAATGCTATCAATGCATTTAGTGATAATCACGCTACAGAAGGTACTGAGGAAATAAGCCCCAAACCTGTGTTGTTAGGGTTTGAATTTAGTACCAAACATGAGAATTAAAAATATATACAAGTCTTGTATATCCGAAACACCACAAATTAATGTAGTTGTTAATAATGCCATTGTGTAAAGCAATCTTTGCCCCCAGCCTTTGCAGATTTTTAGTGCAAATATTAAAGGTTAAATACATCCAAGCATTTAATATTGTTTAGTAGATAACAAATCTGTTTGTATAATGGATTGACCTAGATTTTTAGATTGTTATATTTCAAAGAAAGATCAGATTTTTTTTATTAAGCATAGCTAAAAATATTTTTTGCCTTTAAAAAAAAAAACCCAAAGTAGATTTTTTTAAAAAAATTTGATTTATATGCCGCCCTTCTCCGGAGACTCAGGGCGGCTTACAATGTGTTAAGCAATAGCCTTCATACTTTTGTATATTTATACAAAGTCAGCTTATTGCCCCCACAAACTGGGTCCTCATTTAACCTACCTTAGAAAGGATGGAAGGCTGAGTCAACCTTGAACCTTGGAGAGATTCGAACCAGCAGTAAATTGCAGGCAGCTGTGTTAATAACAGGGTGCGTAGACCACTGTACTATCAAGGCTCAGATTTAGGACAAAGATGTATTTATGGGATTTGCCTGCTATATTTTCACCTATTTGTGCCCTACCTGCAATGTTTCTGTTTAAAAGAAATGTATGACATAGCTATTTCAAGCTGTTTGAATTTTACTCAGCTGCTGTTTAAAGGTTTACTGTAAGAGTTATAGTTTTAAATGTGTGAGGTAAAAATTTGGCTGCATCCACCTGCTGTTTTAAGGCTTCAAATGCATATGGCACATAATTGGAAAAATTTTGAGAACATGTGCTTCTGCGTCATTGATGTGTTTTTCATAATGGTGTCTCTAAAACAAGGAATTGCTCAGCTGCTATGTATAAATGTATTGAGCCGGTTGCTTCTTTTAAACTTGCTATAGCTTGCTGCTTTCGTAAGTTGGGCATCCTAATTATTTTCTTCCACCTTTTGCATTGATACATTGGATTGTATTAATTGTGCCCATCTTGTCAGGTGCAAGCAATCAAGAGCCATTTGTAAATAGCTAAAGTAAACTACTTTATTGTCTTCTACCTAAGTTACAAGAATATCCCCAGACTGCTTACCTTCCCCTGGGGATGACCAGATAAGACCTTGAGGGATTTTGAGGGAAGTCAAACTTATGTTGCTTACAGCTGCACAATGATTCTAAGCAGGCTCCTTGCTTGACCCCTTCTTTCAGCCTACTGGCAGTTTCCCAACATCTAGATGTTTATCAGTGGTGTGTAGTTACTACCTTGCAAATCTCAGATGTTCTCCTCAATCAATTTGGAACAATGGGGGCATGTGGGGAATGGAGAAGTAATGCAGAAGCAATTTATGTACTATATGTAGACTCTGGTTCTTTTTCTGAGAATAAGCTGTAGAACAAAATAAGCTTCTTCACAGGATTTTATATTTGTTCTCTAACTAAAGAAACACCAGACCAGATGAATAGCTTGTATGTATTTTAGATTCTTTGACTGAAATGGCAAAAAAGCATCTATAGTATATAATACAAACAGATATACTGGTAGAAGATGATAGGAAAGTTAGATTGGAATGTATTTACTCAATTATCCATTGGTTAGAGCCATATTGGTTAGTTGATATGGTACGGGTGTGTGTGAGAGAGTGGAGTGATAAGACTTCTCAGAAAATGTATTTACTCTGCCTTATAGCTAGCTGCAGTTTGGCAGTTCAAATCTCGCCAGCTCAAGGTTCACTCAGCCTTCCATCCTTCCGAGGTGGGTAAAATGAGGACCCAGATTGTTGGGGGCAATATGCTGACTCTGTAAACCACTTAGAGAGGGTTGTAAAAGCACTATGAAGCGGTATCACGGGTGAAATCCAGCAGGTTCTGACAGTTTCTGGAGAACTGGTAGCAGAAATTTTAAGTAGTTCGGAGAACTGGCAAATACCATCTCTGGCTGGCCCGAGAGTAGGGTGCGAATGGAGATTTTGCAATATCCTTCCCCCAGAAGTGAGGAGGGAATGGGGATTTTGCAGTATCCTTCCCCTGGAGTGGGGTGGGAATGGGGATTTTGCAGTATCCTTCCCCTGCCATGCCGACCAAGCCAC